TTTTTTTTCGGTATGTGTTGGTTTTAAAGGGATAGCATCCAATTTCTCAAACCAGGAAATCCGCCTTTAGCGATGCGCTGCTTGAGTAGGCTGGAGGATATATATATATGTATGTATTTTGTCGTGCTCTTTCTGCGATGTACAGTCTTTAACCCGTCGTGTGCACTGCCACTGTCTGCCGGGGCCGTAAGATGCTCCGTGCGGCTGTGAGACAGACTCGCCAGGCAGCCCCCCCCGCCGTGCCGGCGGTGCGAAACGGGACCCTGTACTTCGCAGGAGCTGTTTGAATTTTCTTTTTTTCGCAAGTCTGAAGATATTTTTGGGAGGTTTTAAAAAATATTGAACAGATACACCTCGCGCAAGTGTGTTGTAGTTCTGACTTGTCACCGTTTGAGGAGCATTACGTTTCTTTTAAGCACCGGTCGTATTTTTTTTATCCAGTGCCAACAGCTAAGGCGGTAGCAAATGATGAGACCTTATCGACTCTCCATCAAGGTGATCTGTAATATTCTTTTGGGCGTGCGGACTAACGTTTTGTTGGATTTCTAAACTGGATTTAAGGCGGAGGACTAAAATCTCTCATTTTAAGAACCAGTTAAAACCACTCGAAAGTATAGTCTTTTGAACTGTTCTGTAGTAACATTAAAACGTTAGCCGGACACTGGGCAATCTTAAAAAAAAAACGCCTTAAACGTGTTACTGTACAGTGACGGTTACAGAACACTAGCGAAACAAAAAATACATTTGACTGTATAAAAATATTGATGCGTGTACTGTGTATTTTCGTCTGATCTGCACTATAAGGCATATTAAGTACATAGACTTAAATATTCAAGTTATAAATAGTGAAGTTTAACTGCTAAAACGAACGCAGTTGGCAAAGTGACGCGCTATAGACAGAGGATTATGAGAATGTTTTAAGGCCAAAAAATGTCAGCGAGGCTAAATTTCATGGAGTTTTGCACAATCGGCCCGGCTTTACATTTACGTGGCACAGCAAGGATCGCATAATCGATTCTTGCGATCTTACTCGCATTTGTAACAGAGAACAGCTCCAAAGAAGAGGCGGGCTTTCGGGACATTTAGCCCGTTTAGCAGTCATTAATGTACGATTGATCCAAGGATCAGTTAGACAGGAGACAACGAGAAGATGGAAGCGCGTCGATATGTTTATGAATTTCTGATTCTTTTTCTCTTTCAGTTTTAATATATAACAAAACATGCTAATTTGTTTATGGGACATTTGGCTATAACAAAATAAATGAAGTACTCCGTTTTGAAACATCTTTTAACTCAACCAGTTATTGCGTTAAATAGGAAAAAATTCCTTCGGTTTGTACATCGTGAAACAAGTTTTCCATTTAATAAAGATCTAGCATGTGAGGGAAAAAAAACTCAGTAGTAGAAATAATACAGTTGTATTTACAAACGCGTCAGCTGCAACGGCAGCTTCAGATGAAGAAGGCTCCATAGTCAAAGCGTTCTGCTTGGACCCTTTACTTCTTCCTTATTTAAGAAATATGGTGCATGACCGCAAGGTTCTAGTCAACAAACAAATTAACAGTAAACTACATCATTTTACTCTTATATAAATCAGAAAATAAAGGGACTTTGGAAATTATCCACTAAGAACCCTTCACTGGGGGGTGGCACAGTAGCTAGCATTACAGCCTGGCAGCCCAGCGGTCCTGGGTTCAGTTCCTGGTGTGCTGTCTGCATGTCATTTGTATGGTCTGTCTGTGTTCGTACGGGATTCTTCCTACAATCCAAAGACATAATAGTAGGTTAATTGGCTTCTGGAACAAATTGGCCCTGGTGTAATTGTGTCTGTGTGTGCTCTGAGATGGACTGGCGTCCTCTCCAGGGTGTATCCTGCCTTGCACTCATTGTTTGCCGAGATGGATTCCGGCTTCCCAGCTACCCTGGTAGATACTAGTTAACTGATCCAAAAAAAATCTCATCCAGTTGTTTCCCGATGGAGGCAAAAGTACTGGGTTCAAAAACATGACTGGGTTGCTTGTCCCACCTTCCCAGAACCCTTCAGATAAAGCTTTAATCCACGTCCACATAGGTCCCACTTGTGTCTGCTGGATCTTGATTCACTGTTCTCTATGAAGAAATCCGTTGGGTTGACATTGTCGGTGTTTTTTGGGATCTTGAATAGTTGTAACAGGTCTCCTCAGGGTCTTCTTTGTTCAGAGACAGATTCTTTCAGTGTGTCAGGGTATGACACTCCCTTGAGCCGTGGAATGCATCTGATTGCTGGTCTCTGGACTGATTCCAGAGCAGCTATATCTTTACTATAGTGTGCAGGCCAAAATTGTACACAATATTCCAAATTAAAGATGTAAATGTAACGTACTCACACATTACGCACAGTATAGTCCGTGCACATATATACATACATGAGATGCTATGGGAAGCTCCAGAGGACCCCTGTAACTGCACATGATGTAGCGATTGGAGGTGCCGTCAAGAGCAGACGATGAGGGTAAATTGTGGAATGTTGTGAAGGCTAGGAAGCTGCCATGCTGAAAATGTCTTATAAGAGTTGATATCAGTTCATATCACAAACGCCCATGTAGACGGGAAGCAGGGGTAGACCACAGGTTACATTGCACAAACGTGTCACTCACCAGCCAAACAGTAATTGACCACGTGTGCCTTGCAAGAGACAGAATTATTTGCTAAAGGATCAGCGCTGCCTCTAGAGTGAAGCCACGGTGAAGAAGAGAGAGAGACAGGTGGGAAAAGGTTGTTTTTTTTTCTCTCACACACCCTCAGTGCCCCTCACGCACCCTCATATCTCTCCCACGTCTTCACAAAGTTAGGAATGACCATGTAATAGCCCGGCGTTGGTTAGTCCCTGCTGCTTTGGCTTCCTTGTCAACACTTCCTGTGTGTTGTGACGTCGGGGAGCCTCTTCATTGGGCCAAACAGATGGAAAAGCTGAAAGTCTTCACCAGCGCCAAAGGCAGTTATAGTCCAGGTGTTAGAAAAGTGATGCCGACAGCATTTTGATCACGAGGTGGTAGTGAGAACCACTTACTCTGTACTTCTTCAACTAGAACGGTCTAGTGCTACCGTACGTTGTACTGTATCTTCGTTTTGAGCCATTACCACAGCGACCTTACAGACCATGTACTCTACACATTACCACACTTGGAATTTAATGCTGGCCTGATGACTGAAGCTCACCGATGACAGTGCAGGAATGGCTCAGGAAATAACTCACACCCATTTGTTCGGAGGGCATCCATCTCCTTGTGGTAGACGTTCGCTGAGGTGGCCAAGAACTGAATTTCCCCACCAGTGAAGAGTATTGGGTGGATTAGTCAAAATTTCACTTTACCTATTGTCTTACCCTTTTTTCATGATGCGGCAAGAAGCCTTCTGTGACATATTTGAAGACCTTGTGATAATCACAGTTATTTTTCACTGAAAAAACTGTGTTTACAGTCACGTACTATAAGTTGTTGCTTCGCTTACAGTTGCTTATACAGCATCATTTTAGTTTTCCTGCAGTTTCTTTGTTGCCGGGTTATATGAAAGTTATACTGCAACAGACAAGAGTATTGTCACTCCGTTTCTTGAATTCACTACAACGTATTTTGTGACTCATTCTTGAATGAATGAGTGTTTATGAATAAAGTCTTAAAAGGTGGAGCTGCTGAACAGGCCTATATAAAGTGTAGTATTATCATATTGCATCTTAACAAATTGCAAATTACCCTTGTTTTGGATACAAGATGCTAATATGTGAGTGCTGTAATATGTGGCCTTTTCTCTGTTGTTTCTTCTAAGATGATTTGCATTTCTGAGTATTCTAATATTCTAGGAAAAATAGTTGCCGGGCAGGTTTTTCCAACCTTACTCTGAAGGAGTGAATAAATATAATTTTCTCAAGACCACTTATGTAGAATATGGATTTTAGCCTATTTGACAATGCTATGTATTTCTTCCCACGTTATTTCCATATTTCCATTATTGCTGCTTTGAGAAAGATTTTCCACCTCAGCTTTTTTTTGTGCTGGATTGTGTAGCTACTTGACGGTATAGCAGTGAGCTATGTATGCAAGACAAAGAAAGGAGAAAAACACAGAACATCAATATTTTAATATTGTTTACTTTAATAAGACAGAAAAAAAAACCGTCAAATGCCAAAGGTGCTGTTAGTGTTTTGTACTCACGGTCTTAGACTTCCTGT